AGGGGGGGGGGGGGGGGGAGCGGGCGCCATTGACGGGGGGGAGGGGGGGGGGGGGGGGCACGCACGGCATTGTCTGGGTGGAAGATGTAGGATGCTGGGGAGTTGTCCACGATGATGACCTTGCTGAGTTCCCGACCCAGACGGCTCAGGTCCTTAACGTAGTTCCCACGATGAAAGACACAAGACTCCCGGAAGAGCCGGGTGTGGAAGGCCCCCCACTTGTCCAGCAAGTCGGATACAGGATCAGCGTACTGAGTCAAGGAAAAAATGGCCACAAGGGGGAGACATGGTTCAGGAGGGAGCCAAGGCAGAGTCAGGGTAATGTTGACAGAACAGTGTTTAATCTGGGACAGATGGCCTTGGAGAACTTACCTTGGCCAAACTGGCTGTGAATAACACACATTCAAATAACTCTCCCATCCGCTTAAGAAACTCATCCACATGGGGGCGTTTCAACACATATACCTGGGTTAAAGGAACATGACAGCTTCAGTCCTCAAAAGCACAACAGATTTATGGACTAATGAAAGTGGTAAACCTACCACAGTGGACACATCAGACACTCAGAGCCTGCCTAATCACACCCCACAGTGTGTCAAGCTCAAACTCCAGCGGCTGTCGCTTTTGGCCGTGCTCCTGAGCCAAGTCATCCAGAGTAGGCTTTGGCGTCCTAAACAACCTATCCTGGATTACTTGAACCAGGCCCAGGTCAGAAACCCCACAGGTTCTACCTGTGTTTGTTTGTGTCTGTGAGGGGATGCTCTTCATCACAAGTACATGCTGCTATACCCCTTTAAGAAGCTCAGGAAGCCCATTCCCGAACTCATCCCAAAAGCCTGGCTGTTTTGTGGGGCTGGGAAGTTGAATTAGCTGCCTCAGGCTCTTGGACCACTGGTCACTCCCTTAGACTGCTGGAAGGTGCAGCAAACCCGACACCAGCACATAACATTGTCATTAGTATTAAATAATTCATTAACATAATGCTTCAAAGAATCCAGAACTGGACATCGTGAAACTATACAGATTAAGAACTTCACTCAGGGAAATTTGAACGGACAGCCTCTTAGCCAGAGAAGCAGCTCATCAGATAGCAACAACAAACACCAATGCCGCCTTCCACACACTTGGGGCAGCTCCAAAGCCTGTTACATGCTTCAGCCCTGCACTTCAGACGCAGTGAGCTACTCTACACATCAAGTGATATAAGAGAACATCACCAGCTGTAATTAGAAGGTGCTGAAATAAGAAGACATGGCGCAGAACAGATTACCCACCTGATGGATGGTGCCATCTATTTCCACTGGAATGATAAAATCAGCATTGTTCACAGGCTGTGTAAACAGATGAAACAAATTAGGTAGCATAAAGCAACAGAGCACATCAGACAATAAGCAAAACTTGATGGGAAGAAGAGTCTCCTGAGGATAGCTTTGCTGTAGGGAGGAAGACTATCTTTGGTTTGCAGAAAAGCTCAAAGCATAAAGGCATAAAGCTCACATTTTAATTTTTTTTATTTTTAATTCTTTTAACCCACTTAGTGCAATCGTAGAATAATAAAAGCTTGAATCACAAAAATCACTTCCTAAGTCTGATTTATGCCAAGTCTTTTCAGCTATTTTGCCATCAGGAACATCAGCATTAAACAATAGTTAGAACTCAGACAAAGGATCACACAGATTCATGTTGCCACTCTCCACCCTGAATGGAGAGCCTGATTATTTTAGAAGTTTCTTCCTGCTCAGAGATCAAGTGAACTATATGCGTATACTACATCCTGTGGGTTGCCACAGTCAACCAGAGGTGCCACGAGCTTGTACCTTGAAGGAACTGTGAACTAGTGTTTCATCCAGATCAATGACCACACAGATCTTGCCCTCATCTGTGAACTCTATCTGAGGCAACAGGGTCTTTGTTGGGACCTACAGAAACAGCACAACAAAAACAAACTGAATAAAACAATGTCAAGCAAATCAAGCTATGCAAAATATCTTTATTGACATATCATATTATTGTGTGTCAATGATCCCATTATAAAATTATCATACACCTTCAGCAGCTAACAGTCCAACATACCAGGACTTCTACTGCAATAAACATTACACTAATAACAACTGACAACAGCCCAACATAATTATTACATGAATTCTCCACAAGGGGGCAAATGGGGGCACTATCCCCACTGTAGTGAAATTCCAGAGGGTGGGTAACAGCATGTGACTGTGCAGTGTTGTCTAGGGTTACACTTCTGTGCGGAGCAGAGGGACAGAGTCTTTTTAGAACTACTCTCAACATCTGACAGAAAGCGGGGAAATGTGCTTGCTAAATCAAGTCAAATCTCAAAACAACGGGTCGAATAACCAAAACACATCGGTCAGGAGGGGCCGATCAGATCCTGTGACACTGACTCTGACATCGCAGCTCCATATGGAAACTATAGAGCCTATATTTCAGTCAACAGTGTCATCCATTTTGCGGTTGTCGTTCTGACTGACAGGTATTACTTGATGTTCTCCAGCCTCACTGATACTCTGAATGCTGTCAGTGATCAACACTCACAAAAACAAACAGCTGACGTTTTCTCATACACAAGCTAACACAGGTACCTGTTCCTCAAAGCCAGTGCAGTAGTGACAGTCGCAGTCCTCAGAGACATCACTGTCATCGTACACTTCAGCCTCATCATCAAGTTCTTCAGAGTGTGAACTTTGATAAATGATGTTCAGGTGTCCAAAGTCACCATTGTCACTGCATTCAAATTCACTCTTTTCAGCACATTCATCGTGGTCACTAGATTCACTGTTTTCAGAAACCTTCAATTGTTCATAATATTCAGCTTCTTCAGAAGATTTCCTGTCTTCACACAAGTGTGCAGGCATCTTGCTTACTTCATGGGGTTCACAATGCTCATTTGGTTTCAGAGATTCACACATTCCAATACTGGGTCCAAGAGGTACCCTTTGTTCAGGGCTGTGTTCAGGGCTGTTGTCAAGGCTGTGGTCATGCAGTATGCTTTGTTTAAAGCTGGATTTAGGTGCCTCATTTTTTTTGATACCGCAATAAGAGAGTTCCCTTTGTTCAAAACTGTGTATAACTAGTTCACTTTCATTAGCTCCCCGTTCAGCTGGTTCCTCCGATTTTGTTCTTAAATTGGATGGTTCCCATTGTTCAGAGCTGGGCCATTCCCTTTTCTCAGCATTGAAATCAGACAACTTGCTTAGTTCAGTATTGTATCCAGGAACGCTCCTCTGCTCAGAGCTTTGTTCTGCTGGTTCAAGGCTATGTTCTGCTGATTCCCCTGGCTCAGGGTTTTGTTCTGCCAGTTCCTTTGGTTCAGAGCCATGTTCTACCAATTCCCCTGATTCACAGCTCGACACCACCGGTTCCCCGAAATTAGGACTGTTTTCTGTCATTTCCTTTGGCTCAAGCTGTTCCGCTGGTTTAAAGCCATGTTCTGATAGTTCCTCTGGCTCAGGGTGGTGTTCTGCCTGTTCCTTGGATTCAGAGCTGTGTTCAATCAGTTCCCTTGATTCACAGCTCTGTACCACTGGTTTCCTGGGTTTAGAGCGGCGTTTCTCGATTTCCCCTAGCTGAAGGTCACATTCCACCGGTTCCCTGGGTTTAGGGCTGTGTTCTGCTGGGTCATCTGATTCAAGGTTATGTTCTGCCTGTTCCTTAGGTTCAGAGTTATGTTTTGCTAGTTCCCCTGGCTCAGGGCTTTGTATAGCTGCTTCCTCTGCTTCCCAGCTGTGTTCTCCAGATTCAGGGCTGCCTTCAACCTGTTCCCTGGGTTCAGAGTTGCGTTTTCCTAGTTTCAGTGGCTTAAAGCTGTGTTCTGCTGATTCTCCTGGTTCACTATTGTGTTCAGCCAAATTCTTGGATTCTGAACTACGTTCTGCTAGTTCTCCTGGCTTAGGGCTGTGTGCTACTGGTTCCACTGGTATCCCAGGTTCAGAGCAGTGTTCTGCTGGTTTCCCTACCTCAATGTTATTTTTTTCTAGTACCCCTGACTCAAGGCTGCCTCCTGTTGGTTCCTCTGGCTCAAGGCTGTGTTCTACTGGTTCCTCTGGTTCAATTATCTCAGTGAGAACTGAAATTTTGAGGTGTTCCTCATGCCTGGATGGCTCATTTTCTTCAGTGTTCTCCCATGTTTCACTGGGATCCAGCTGCTCAAAACAGATGCATGAATCAGAGTTCTCTTGAACATCACTGTGGTCTCTGAGCACAGAGAGTTTACAGAGTTCAGAAAGTGTATTGTGTTCACAGAACTTATTGTGCTCAGATGGGTCCCTCTGCTCAGATGCACTGCAATCATTTTCCATTTTATTTTTTTCAGAATACCCCCCATATTCAAAATTCTCAGATGCTTCAGAGGTACCAAGAGGTACACAGTTTTCATCAAACTTTTCCACGTTCTGCTGAGTGATGTTCTTCACAAGACTCTGCATTTCTGTGAAGAGCTCAGGAGTTCCACTTTGTGTAAAATGCAGACACGCAATGTCTTCAGAGAGACAGGACCTGAGTGAGGAATTCATACCTTCAGGAGTCTTATTGTTTCCAGAGTCACAGCGTTTAATTTGTCCCAAAGACTCAATGCACTCATACAATGCACACTGTTCATCAGCATGACCAGAGGGACAGATTGTGTTTTTCACACAGTGTCCAACACTGTGTACAGGACTGACAATTTGATTAGATGGTTCATCATATCCAAAGGTCTCACATTGTTCAGAAATATCACTTTGTTCATAGGTCTCACGTTGTTCAGAAATATCACTTTGTTCATAGGTCTCACATTGTTCAGAAATATCGCTTTGTTCGTATGTCTCACATTGTTCAGAAATATCGCTTTGTTCGTAGATCTCACATTGTTCAGAATTATCACTTTGTTTATAGGTCTCACATTGTTCAGAAATATCGCTTTGTTCGTAGGTCTCACATTGTTCAGAAATATCGCTTTGTTCGTAGATCTCACATTGTTCAGAAATATCACTTTGTTCGTAGGTATTCCAGTGCTCAGAAAGATCACTTTGTTTGTAGGTCTCACATTGTTCAGAAATATCACTTTGTGGATAGGGGCCGCATTGTTCAGAAAGATCATTTTGTTCACATGTCTCTTGGTGCTCAGAAAGATCACTTTGTTCTGAGGTTTCACAGCATTCAGGATCTTGCACATGAAGCTCTTTGTGTTGCAGGATATGGGAACATTCACCTTGATTGCATTCAGACCGCTTCCAAAAGTAACAGATCACATGGTCTGCAGAGAGCTGAGTATCTTCTAATACCTCACTAGGTCCAGTAATCACGCCTTGCTCAGGTTCCTTGTTTTCCAGGAGCTCAGAGAGTGTCCTTGGCTGTGTAGGCACACTGTCCTGTAGTGCAATGCATTCAACACAAAACTCACATGGATCTTCCGGCTGCTGGAGTGACCCAATATTTTGCCAAGACACAGAACCACAGTGTTCAGAAAAGCTGCTTTGTTCAGAAGTCTGCATAAGGTTATACACAACCTCACAACCTTCATTAAAGCATTTAATCTGACCTTGTTCCAAGGAGCCCTTCCCTTTAGAAATGGCACAGCATTCGTAGTGCTGTTCAGGGAGACCATTTTCCTTACTTAATGTATGAAGTTCTGAGCTTCTTAGTGGTGTGCCCTCATTTTGGTAGCTTTCAGGACAGCAATCAGAAGAACTGCAATTCTGCCCAGGGACCTGAGTACAGTTCTTCAAATGTAAATTCTGTAAAGAAAATCTGAAGTAATTACAGACTGCACAATCTGTCACAGAGCAATCACTGGAGTCAAATTCTTCAGGACCCTGCAAGTACACAGGAGACGAAGAGGATTCAGATCCCTCAAAAGCTTCAGAAGCCTGACACAACGCAGAAACATTCCCATAGCATGCAGGGCAACATTCACAAAGATCAACTCCTGCAGAAGCCTGACAAACATCACTGGATCCATTTTGTTCAGGAACCTCCAGAGACACAGAAGCCTCACAGTGGTCATTACAGCATTCAGGGAGGATGCTGTGTGGAGGTCTCTGGTCTTCTGGGCACTCAAAGTACTCCACAGAGCACTCAGAAAAGTCACTGTCTTTGGAAGGTCTACGATCTTCAGGATGCACAGAGCATTCAGAGATATCACTGTGTTCAGCTCTGGGGTCTTCTGTGCACTCAAAGTACTCTGCAGAGCACTCAGAGAGATCACTGTCCTCAGGTCTGTGGTGCTCAGGACACACACAGAATTCCACAGAACATTCAGAGACCTCACTGTGTTTACAGGGACCACGTTCTTCACATGTCTCACAGTGTTCAGTACAACACTGAGACTCAGTGCTGTGTACAATGTGTTCAGCATAAGCCTTACAGCACCTGTGATTTTCACCATGTTCAGCACAGCATTCATAATGATCACTTTGTTCAGAAGGTCCAGAGAACTCACAATGTTCAACGTCCTTGGAGCAGTCCAGGCAGCTTTCAGTGGGCCCCGGGGTTGCGGCCGGTTGGCGGCTTGCTCGTGGCACTGGCGGCAGCAGAGCGCACACAGACATGGCTGGAGGGTCACTTCCACACTGAGCTGTGAACCCGGTCCCCCCCAGGAGCGACACAAGCCGGCTTATTTTGGGGCTTCAGAGACGTGACAAACAGCCCCAGGAATATCAAGTCACTATAAAGAGCTGAAGTAAGCTGAAGTCAAGCCCCGCGCTGCCGGGCAGGGAGTGGGCCTCCTGTCTGTCATGAGAACCGCCCGCCCAGCAGGCCGGACTCAGAACAAGAGACTGAAGGATCCGCCCTCGGCTGACCAGCAGGCTCTTTCAATGATGGGCAGGAAGAGGGCAGGACGAGAGCAAACAAGGGCTTTGGGTCCCGTGTGGACAAAATGAATCGTGTGACACCCAGGTGCACTGTGTGTACAGCAGCAGATGTTTAGGGAAATGGGAGGGGGGAGAAGGTGGGTCAGAACAGTGCAGGGTAGGGCAGAATGAAGGGGATTATAGGGAATGATGTGTCTGAGAATGAGTGTTACTGAAGCATCACCATGAAGAACCTCTTAGGACAGTGACATTACTTTGATAGTTATATACCTTACTTTGCTTTATTTTATTCCAGCTATTTAACTATTAGCATGGATGACTAGGCCAAAAAGACTCCATTAAAATGTGACTGTGAAAGACAAGCAAAGGAAGGAGGGAGAAGGAGAGAGAGACAGGGAGAGGGAGGACTTATTGACAGTGGACAGAGAACAACAGACGAAACCTACCTTTAATGCAGTGCCATTTTCCTCTACTAGGAGGGGAGTGTTGTTGTTGGAGGGGGGTTGCTCTGTGGGGGTGTGGCAGAAGCAGCAGAAGAGGCTGTGCAGCATGCCGTGGCCATGGGGCTTCTTTGGGTGTGGGGGTCCATGAGCTGGGGCTGCTGGGAGTAAAGAGCACCAAACGTGAACTGCAGCTCCATACAAAAGCCACTGTCTCCAATCCCACCACCATATGGGCGTGTTTTCATTCCAAATCTGTCCATTCACCTCCTGTGACCTCCTGGAACTCATAACTGCTTCTCTCTCAAGTGTTGACTCCAAATTACTATCAAAGAACGTTTCAAAGGCAGGTTTATAGTATATCCTATATCCTGAGGAGCTGGCACAGATGTGCAGGCTGTTTATCTGAAAGTCACCATGCTGTCCCCACATGTGTTTCTGTAACGCCCCTCTCAGAATGACCATAAAACACACAGGCAAGTTCGCCAGTGGCCACTGACAGCTGTAGTGTGAAGGGTTTAGCGCTTTCCAAATTTCTACTCCATTCTCAAGCTAAGCGCCTGGCACCAGCTGGTGAATAGGATAGCCCTGCTCGTATGCCCTACATGCCAGCCGTGAGCTGCAAAGCCGATGGGGTGGGAACTTCGTAAGTGTAAACAATTTGAGTAAACACACAAAAAGCAGCTAAATCACAGAAATTACTGAGAAGTTCCCACAGCTGAAGGTGACCTTGAAGTTACAGGAAGCCTGAGGAACATCAAGCTGCCTGAATAACAGCACACTTAACACCTAAATAGCGCCAAGTGTGGGCTGCTGACAGCGGCTGCTTTCGGCTCCACTGTATTTATAGCGCCTTGCATCCACCCAGGCCATAAACGGAGGCACAAAACAAAACATTGCAAGGCACCTTACAGGTCTGGTAAGGGGGGACTCTGGGTCACAGCTCGCATTGTGGTAAAACATGGTAAAACCTGGCACCCTAATCTATGTCTTAAGTACTCCCATCCCAAAGTCAAAAACAGCCCAGTAAATTTACCATTTCTAATTTTAATATGGCGACGGGTGGGGTGGGGTGGGGTTAAAAACAGATGTCCTTTTAACCGGGCCAGACCATCTGTTCTGTTATTTAACCAAAACAACAATACTGTATTAATACAGTATGAGAAACGGAATCAGCCCCCCCAAGAACCTCAAGCTCCAGTTTCAGCAGGGGTTTGAGGGGGTAAGGAGCACCTAGATTCTGTTAATGAGGTTACAACTTTTTCTAATGTCAGCCAGTTTCAGCCCCTCGTCCGTCTTGCTTGTTAAAGGTGGCTTAACCCAGCACTCGTTGGTGGTGACTCTGGTTCTATTCGGATCCGGGCCTGCACCCAACAGCCGGCTCGGGTTCTGCAGGCTGACACTCGAGCTGGTACTACAAACTGACAAGGTGTCCGACAGTGTCTCTGGCTGCTTTGGACAGACTCAGTCATGTGGTGGCGGGGGGCGGGGGGGGGGGCAGCATTTCCAAGCCAGCAAGCTCTCGTTTCCATGTGGGAGGGTTAACAATCCTGGAGATCATAAACTGCAACAGCTCTCGGAAATGACAGTCAGCCAGCAGAGAACAGGAGCCCCCCTCCCCCCAAAGATGTGAGCTGGTTGGGACACCACTTTGGCAGCCTGGATAAAACACTCCCTAAAAGGCAGAGTAAGGCACATTACTCCCCGAACAACTCGGCAAGTGTGCCCACCAGGGGGCACTTTGAATTAACTGTAGATTTTAATAAGCTAACAGGTGACGGCCTTTATTTTGATGCCTGGTTTTTAAATACATCTTGATTATTCTACAGATTTATTGACAGCTTAAAGCAAAATGCTTTAATCCCGTTACAAGCCAAAAATGACAAGCGTCCCAATATGCTTACTTCATGGGAACGTGACAATCTGGGTTGCCCATCAGCATCCTTTTCCTCCCTTCCCACCCCGCTTCTCTGCCCCTGACTGTCCCTGGGTGTTGGGCACCTGGGGGGTTTGAAACCAGGAGTCCTTCCTTAGACAGAGAGGCATCCTGCCCCCCCACCCCACAGACACAAATACTGCGCATCAACCTCAGTCAGGCTGGCAAATGCACCCTGATAAAAGCACACGATCACTGCATATTTCCCCAAATGTGCCTCAGACATCATGAGATGCAGCCTAAAAAGCATAACCAGGCTGAGAAGAAACAGACAGAAAGAGGAAAACCGGCAATTATCACACAGAGGAGTGGCTTCCTGTGTGACAAGCACAATAACAGAGATCAGAGAGAGAACATCGATCCACAACTGCTAATCCCGCACACGATCATGGTGATCCCTAGAATCCCAAGGAATGAGCCTGGGGGGTGCTGGGTGGGATGCTATCACAGATTGCACACACTCTCTCGTTCTCTCTCTCTCACACACACACATAAACAGTACTCTAAGGTGTGTGTGAACAATTAATATGGATCCCCTGCAGGCAAAGCAATCCTTTGATTGCATGATTTTTGTTGTAACCAGTTTCTATCAGCATCTCACATAATTAGAGGGGAAAACCAGCTCTGAAATGCAGAACTGTGCAGCAGCTTGTTTTTATTTTCCCTGAACTGTTATAGCGTCACCTATAAACTGATACATGTTGATCCCGCCATCATCCTCTCTCATGTCTATCACCTGCAGTCTGATTTACCTTTTTGCAAATTCTTGCCGTGTCTTGGTAGCTTTCGTTTGGTTCTCCTGTTACTTGACCACAGAGGCAGGATCCCTGTTAAATTACAATTCAATTCAATTTATTTTTATATCGTGCCTTTCACATCACAAAGTTCTTTACATGGATGTGCTGTGATACTCTCTCTAATGATGTTTAATGTAATACAAAAAATGTTCCTTATGTAATGTTAAATGTTCCTTATACAGATAAAAGGCAAAACAATCTGATCAATATTGCTTGTTTGGAATCTTAATCGTGTTATTGGTATGATAATTTACTGCTTGTCAGAAATCACTTATTTCCCCAGGGAATCACTCCATCTCTGTGCGAGCATAAATAAGGCATAATTCGCAGAATGTTCCTGGGGATAACTTTCAAAAGGTGTTTTTAAACTGGGCCATGCTGTGCTACTTTGATCATTACTACCTTTGCGCTGACTCTGCCTATAGAGATTAGGGAGATAATGCATCGGAATGCCTCTGGGCTACAGTACTTCCCATGGCTGTAATGAACGTTAGCACCAGTGCCAACTACCCCTGCAGGACTCTTTCTAACCAAAAACACAGAAAACACTGGAGTGCGGGAACACACACAGAAAAACATGGTTCCTCCTGCTCAAGCATGAACATAGAAATGCCACTCTCAAACACCCCCATTCAGGTGAGTAAACTGAAAAAACAGAAGCTGTAGGGGACTCTTAAAATCATCCATCAACAAAGTATGCATCAGATACAGATCCCCAGCCTGCCTGTTTCCCTAGCAGGGGGCTCCCCACAGTGGCCATTTAAGCTAGCACTTCTCATCTGGTTTAGCCTCAGGGGCCACATTTTCGTCGTTAAATAACAACCTAATTTTTTACAATTTGGAACAAAATTTATTTCCAAAAAATAGTAAATATAACATAGTACAATGTGTTCATGTACAGTTTAAAAAAATACAAAAAAAACTAGGGGAGTAAAGATGCATTGATACATCGTGATGAACCAATTATTAAGATGGCAATTCAACTGCATAAACCAGTAATGTCGGATTTGATTTTTGGGGGCAATATCCACCTTAATGATAAAGAAATGGGCTCTTGCAGTCATGTGCTGCAGGTAGACATGCAAAATAGCAGTACTGGCACGCGAATCAGGGCTAGGTAACACTGATACTGGAGTACCTAGATCCAGCATGTTTTCTATCCTACCTGATGAGTTTCTATCTGCTTGAGATGAAGTATGGTTCATCAGAGACCAGGTAGGATAGAAAACCTGCTGGATACCGGCACTCCAGGATCAGTTTTACTTATTGTCAAATCATCACAATTTTGGACCTCATCGTCACATGCAGACAACTTGGCATGCTGATTTGGTCACCTGAGTAACTCATGAAACTGAAATTTGGCGTGTCTGGGATCAATATTGAGATTTAAGCAAACAAAGTTTTAACTTTTTTTTTTTGGGGGGGGGTATGACTTTGACTGGCTATATTTACCTCAACGTAAGCTGCACAGAAGTGGTCCTTATATTGTTTTAAAGCTATTGTGCAGCTCTATACATTGGACAAATAATATGCCATTCCCATATAAATAATTACTATGTAATAGCCGATAAAAATATTACAAATTCAATAACAAAAAAACCTACTGTATATTTCAAAACTGATACATTTTTTACTAACGCTATATCATAATGTCATGAACATCTCCAGAAAATTTGGTCTTTGGTTCTTAAGTTGTTGCTGAGATATCCTGACGAAAAGGTAGCATCACATGGTTAGAAGCCAGATGGTTAATTGTAGATATAAACTATTCTTTACCGTCAGAACGTGACAAACACTTGCCAAGCAGTAGTGATGGCAAAATGATGCTTCCGGAACCCTTTGCTCTATTTTCTGACCACACTAGATGGAG